TCGCGGGAGCTGGGGGGCGGGGGACGCAGGCAAGCCAGGTCTTCCCACCTGCCGTCGGGGCTCCTCCCCGCCGCAGCAAAGGGGTCCCAGTGCCCGTGGCAGTGCACGCTCAAGCGGACACACTGGCTCCCAAATTCGGAGATCAAACGGGCAGCCGAGAACTGGGCGTCCGCTGGGTGTGACCCCTGACCGTGGAGGAAGGGCGGGAGCCGGGAGTGGGCGGTGGAGCCTGGGGTCAGGCCGCGGTCGTCGGCTCCCAGCAGAGGCACTCTAGCCGAGGAAGGGGGTGAGGGTGGGTGACCTGCCCCTGCCATAGTCATACCTGGGACGTTGAAATGGGCTTTGGGGATAGAGCTCACTCCCAGCGCCCCACAGGAGAAGCCCGCAGCGCAGACCTGGGCCGTGCAGACCCCTGGGCGGGCTCGGGGGCCGAGGATAGCAACACGGCCCGAGGTCCAGTCGCGAGTTACAACCCCGACGGCCCCTTGAAGACGTGCTCCGGGCACCGGGGGTGTGAGGGGGGAGGCCTCGGGCCTTGGGCCCGCTCGGCACGGGGCGGGGGCGCCTCCTCCAACTCCTGGAGATCAGGCCTAGACCCCGAGTGTTCTCAGGGACACTGGACGGCGGGCCAGTTCCTAGCACCGTGTTGTCCCCCATTGCAGCTGCTGCTTGTTAAAAGTGTTAGCGACCCGTGATGACAATCCACAACTTCTGGAGGGTGCGGGTGGCATGTACGGACGTGAAGATCTCTTTGTAAGGCACGTCCACGCACACACAGGGACACTCATTTTGTAAAACCTAGATGGGCGTTGCCCCCACCCCCCATGCCACCCGCGTACCAATCAAAGCTGCAAGTTGTAGAAAATACCTGGACGTGTGTGGGCTGCACCTTAAAACAGAATCCGCCCGGTAGGCATTCCCAAATACAAATAAAGTGGGAGGGCGCTTTGAGACTTGGGGGGGGGTGTTAAAAAGTTACTTGTAAACAATACATTTCAGGTTGTTTTCAAGTCAATGTTTAAAGTGTTGCCTGCTCCAAGCTCTAACAACACATTAGTGTTATAATAACACTCCTTGCATCTGCCAGGAGCCCTCCAACGGGCTGCCAGCGGTTCCACGAGGTTCGTGGTGTTGGTGTTGGTGTAGGCGAAGGCGACTAAAAGGGGCGAAAAAGAACCCAAAGCCATGCCTGTAGGGTTTGCCAGCGCCGACCCCGCCCCTCGCCAGCGCCCGAGGCCAAGCGGACCCCGCCTTCCTAAGGAGCCATCTTGCGCGCTGCACCAGCGGCCCAAGCCCTTTAGCACTCCCTGAAGGTCGCGCAGCCTGCCCGGCTGAGCCTGCGCCCCTAAACAGCTGCAGAGGTGCGACAGGTTTATTATGCTGGGCCTAGCTCGCTCGTAATTCCTTAAAGACAAAGGGCAGCGGAGAGAGCCCGCGACAGGGCCTGGCCTGCGGGTCAGACGGCCGCTGTGAGGCCCGGGTTCCACGCACCTCCTGCACAAACTCGGGCAAAACTGCTTTGCCATGGTATGTGAGTGTACTGAAGGTTTAACTTTCTCAGTTTTTCCTTCAAAAAAATCAAGGTGGAAGATGTTTTATAACATTTGAAACGAATAGCCAAAATTTGGCAGAGCAGGAAACAATAAGTTCACTGAAATTTAATTGAGATTTAAGATAGAAGAAACCTTGTAATAAGAATTGTCTTGAAGGACGCCCAAATGAAATTCTCTCATAGCACAGAAATAGATAAAAAAATGTCGAAGTAAATCTATTCTCCTTTTTTCCTTTTAAACACATACACCAGGAAGCCAAATGAACTCCCGCTCCTTCCATTACTCAGGGTGCAGGAGCAGTGAGAAGGTTGCAACCAAAAATACTTTAGTTTCCTTCAAACACGGATGCTGCCATCTATTTGGAGAAGTAGAATTCAACATCATGGCTCAATTGGAGTTTTATACACCCCTGCCTAGAATCTCTTCTAAGTGTCCAAACAAGCAACATTGAATTAAACAGGGCCACGGCAAGCCTGCGGGCCCCTGGAATGGTCTCTCCTGGGTGTGGGAAGGGAGGTTCCGGTGGTCAGAGGAGAGGGGGTGCCTGCCCATCAGGGTCAAGGCTAAAGGGAACGTGACTCTGTGAGGTTTGTTGGAGGATGTATGTGACAGTGGGTCTGGGAGTTGGGTTTGCAAGTGTTTGTGAGAATGTGTGACTGTGAGATGGCATGTTTGTGGAGTGTATGTGCACTTGTGAATGGATGTGCATGGATGTTTGTGTTCGAGCCGATGTGTGACACCGTGTGAGTATGTATCTGTGTGTGTGCCCACCATCTCGCCCAGGCTCGGAGGCCTGGCCTCCCAGCAACCATGTGTTTCCAATTAGCAGCATCCCGCCTGGGAGCGCAGAGAAGGCGAGTCCTGGGGCAGCTTCTGAGGAGCGGGTGGGCTAGCTCAGGCCCCCCAGTTCTGCTCCGTCGAGGGCGAGGCCGCCCGGCCAGCATGCTTTCGCAGCGACTGGGCAGCCACACAAAGAGCCCTCTCTCCTGCGCCAGCCGTTGGAGACTCGGTCCTCCCCCAGATCATAAACCTGCCTGTGAAGACGTTCAGAAATAGTTTACCCGCACTCACACACACATGTGCAAAGGCTGGAATTCCATTTGCTGTAAAGTTTTATTTTATTTTGCTTGGAAGGGGAGTGAGGGGGAGAAGTGTCCTGACCTAATTTGTTCTAGGGCAAAATACTGTTAATTTCATGCAGAGGTATACACCTGTACACGAATCCCTGCTTGCTGCCTGTGGGTGTCCTGCACATTTGTGCGTCAGCCTACCTGCAGCTGTACACCATACACAGCTCAGGAGCACACACCTGTGGTCTCACCCAGGCTACCTAAATGATGCACTCAACGAAACCAGATCTGAGCCTTAAACCTTTTTATTATAACTTCAGATTAACGCTGATGTTCAAGTGCATAAGCACAATGCCTGGCATGTATTAGGCACTTAACATAAATGGCTGAATGAATACATTAAGCTTAGATTTAAAAAGTGACCTAGTATTAATAAGAAGAGGGTGGAAATAAGCACTGTGTGAAAGATTCTAGACCACAAGGAAAGGCACAGGCTCAGAGACCTCTAGGTAACCCGGGGGCTTTGCCATGGAATGTTCCAACAGTATTTGCTTACCTTCAAGTTTCTTCTTCTGACCCCCCTCTATTTCTCAAGACTTCTTTTCAGGTGGTGTGAGCCCTTGGGTTCTAATTATAGTCAGCAGAGACCAGCCAGGGTGTGAATTCCTCCCTTCTGCGGGAACTAGGTTTCCAGAGTGACTTGTCACCAGGAGGGGAAAGAAATGTCCCAGGCGAAGACTAAGGAGGAGGCTCCCCAGAGCACCCCCGCCCCCTTAGCCTTGCAGGAGTCCTCCCACCAAGGGCTTTTTCTCAAAACAGGGCAAGGCCTGACCACAGCGATCTCATTCAAAGGCCTGGATTGTGGGGTTTTTGTTTGGGGACCCTTATAGCCGTGCTCCTAACTTGGAGAAAACATCCACACCGACCCTGTAAATGCTAGTTCACAGAAAAACCATTTTTAATATGAAAAGAGAAAAACAATTTGAAGGCCCCACAATTTGTTGTCTAACAACATAATTTCAAGTAAAGTGAGTATGATTAAAACGTCTTGATTTCACAAAGCCATTCAGAGGAGGCTTCGACAAAAGCGAAGCGGCCCAAACCCCGGAGGGTCACATCCCGGCTGCTACAAAACTCGGCGGGGCGGCCCGCTCCTGCGGCCGGGACAGCGCGGTGGCAGCAGGGGCCACAGGCACCCGCAGATTGGCACGCCCCTCCCCATCCCCACAGTGCGTCTGCACCGGCGACTCTGCGGGGATCGCAGCCGGAGGGCGGGCTGGCGGGCGGGCTCCGCGGCTGTGCTCAGGCATTGGGGTTTGTCCTCATGAGCTCCACGTCGGCGTGCACCATCTCCCTCTCTCTTATACACATCTAGATGTGTATAAGAGACAGGGGTTTGTCCTCATGAGCTCCACGTCGGCGTGCACCATCTCCCTCACCAGCTCCTGCAACACAGGGGTGGGCGTGAGGGAGGAGCTTCTGCCACCCTCTCCTGGTGACACCCCACCCCGGGTGTCCGCCCCAGAGAGGCCTCCGCGTCCCTCATTCCAGCTCCCCTCACTTCTCCCGCACCCCGCCCTCCGGGCTTTGGGCATCGCAGGCGCCTCAGGCGCCCGACCCTGAGAGCTGCCGCCCTGCAGCCCGGGGCCCCGCAGCGGGCGGCGTGCGCCCTAAGAGATACTCACATCGAAAGCGACCCGGGGCTTCCAGTTCAGCTTCTGTTTCGCTTTGGTGCAGTCGCCCTGCAGAAAGTCCTAGGGAAGAAGAGGGGGAGACGAAGCAGGTGTGGGTCGGCGGGGCAGCAGGTCCCGAGCCCCGGGAACCCCCACCGTTCCGCTCCCTCTGAGCGCACAAGGCTCCGGGGTTCCCTGCTGCCGGTCCCTGCTGCGCGCGTTCAGTTGCGGCTCTCGGCGCCGTAAATCACTAGGTCGCGGTTAAGAAGGTGCTGTGCGGGCCCGTGAGGACGGTGACAGCGATCCATCCCCAGCTCGTCCCAGCCACCTCCACCCCTCTTCTCCCCAACGAGTCCCTTGGACTCTTAATGCTTATTTTTTATTTTTTTATTTTTTTTTACATTAAGTTGTCAGGGACACTACTGTGAGAACTGTTTCGAATTACTGCACTTCTCCGGCTAGGAGGGAAGTGAGTAAATCACCAGGCGCCCCTCCCAGTTGCCCGTGCCCCGCGCGCTCAGCTCCCGCTGCAGGGCTGGCCGCGCCAAGCGCCCATCCTACCCACAGCCAGCAGCCCCGCGGGGAAGGGACTTGGGGTGTGGGGCGCGAGGTCCCAGGACTCGTGGACCCCTCTGTCTCGGTGGGAGCGTGCGACCCTCTTTCTAAGGCGCCATGGATGTATCTTCCTGGGCGGTGGCTTTGGGCTTCTCGTACCCACAGTAAAGTCAGTTCACATGGCCTCCCGCACACACACGCGTTCATAAAACGAAACTGGAGTTTCACGAAGCAATACTTAGCCTTAGCGTCCAGGAACTCTATAGACGGTCTATTCTATTCTACCCCTATTCTACTCGGTTTGATTCTGTTCCTAAGAAAATGCTGATCTCGACCCACTTGTCCTTCCACGATCCAGCACGGAGCTGCAGCCAGCAGCTCTGCAGGACCCCGCACTGCCCGCCAGTGTCCCCTCTGGGAGGGCGTTCCTTCTCCCGCTTTCCCCAACTGCTCCACTCGAGGAAACGAGGGCATTTCATTTCCATCTACTTAAGAGGCGTCCTTGGAAGGAAGGCTGGCGAAAACAAAACCAGTGGAGAAGAAATTAATCCTGCTCTCAGCCCCTGCTCACCAATGTCTTTGTTACAGCTCTGTGAAGACTGATTTACCTGAAGATTGAGATGAGTTCAAGATGAATTACAAAATAGGAAACAAGGAAGAAAGGAAAGGAGGAAAGGAGAAAGAGGGGAAGGAAAGGAGGGAAGAAAGAAAAAAGACTTTGAGATACATAATTGTTAGAAGTGAGATAACTATTTAGCTTTTCCATACACAAATGTACTCATCAAATAACACATAAGATGTGATTCCTCGAAATAAACAGAATGCGAAGGCAGTACGACAATAGCTGATGTTTGTAGGAGAGAAATACTCGATTATTCTATTTCAGCTACATACCAATTAAAGAACAGCCTAAAAGGAGTTTCATCGTGTGAAAGTAACAGACAGTCAAGCTGCCACTGAAAGCCTTTCCTGCTTATTTTCTTCAGACTTCCCTGAAACTTGGCAGGCGGGGGAATTTGTTCTAGATTCATGACGGGAAAGGTCGGGAGGGCAGGGGCGGGACTGCTTTGCCCTGGGTTTGGAGCTCACCTTCTCTGCTAAGCCTTCTAGAGTAGAGGCTGTCTGGATCCTACTGAACGTCTGCACCCGCGGGCTTGAAATAGGGCGGCAGCAGAGTACACGGCGACTCTCCCTCTCGTTCTCATCATCCATCACGACTTTTTCAAACGCTTTGCACTTCGCAATACACTAAAGTACCAGTTTCCTCCCCAGAGTGTTAATAATACTAAAACAAGTTATTTCTGCTGGCCCTAAAAGTCCATATACAGATTCTTCAGGAAAAGTAGAATACAAAAATTAGTAATTAGCAATTTAACATAGCGCTACAAGGAAACAGCAATATAAGCAGAAAAACAAAGTAATTTATTTTTCTTTCCCCTCCCTAAATAAACTTGTATATATTTCTACAGGCTTCTATTTTGCTATAAGCGTCACACAAAGATACTCTTTCTTTTTCCCCAGAGGAAGCTGTGCAATGTGGAGTCATGCAGCCCATCCCTCCCCTCTCTCAATCCTATAGCAGCTAGACGGTGTGGAGAAGCATGGTTATTGTTTAATCACATCACACTGGCTGTAAATCAACCAGCACGGCATAGGATGCAATTCATGGCTGTGAACTTACAGTTAGCAAAACCCTAAAACCCGGTTTGGCTTCAAATATCTTGGTAGGCTTGGGAAATGGAGCTTTGTATTGTAATTATGTTTCCTGTAGTTTTCTACAAGGAGCTCATAATATAAAAACAACCAGGGAACTACCATTAAGGAAAAAGAAAAATGGTTTTCAAAGGCTTAGAAACAGACATTGCTACCATACACTGTAAAAGTATTTCATTGAAACCAGAGACGAACCCAGTTAAACTTCTCAATTTAGTTTTGAGCCTAGCTCCAATACTGCAGTCTAGCTGCTTCCTTTAACCTTCTGCCAAGGCTCTGTCTCCCTGAAATTTAATTAGACCAAGGGACCTTGGGAAGAAAGAGGATGAGGTCCCCTTAGAACAAAACATCGGCTCTCCATGCCAGCTGCTCCTAGACTGACATCTGGACTGGGCAGTAAGCTTATGTTCCAATCAACTTTTAAGGAAAGATGACGAGCATCCCAGCTTGTTTTACACTTAACTGTTCCTGAAGGAATTTCTTATTTCTTCCCACTGGTGTCATTTATAGAAAAGATACGGTCAGTGGTTCATTCTGCATGGTTCTAGGCACAGGACACACCTAAAGGGTGGCACGGGGAGGGCCTGTGTGGGAGAGTGCACGTAGCTCTAGAAGGAGAGCAAGGATGTGGATTCCCTTCTTTAAATAAGGCTTCCTGTGGGCTGAGAAGAAATCAGGTGGTGGATACTGTGTTCATACAACGGGTCCGAACTGCCATGCTCAGATACAAACTGTGAGGAGTGAGAGGGGAGTGTGGGCCCTGATAAGTGTTCCTTTAATCTTTACCTCCCCCTTAAAGATTTTTGAACTTCCACAAATCTCCTCCGCTAGGGTATAATCAGCTCCTCAGGACAAGAGAGAAGAGTGAGCTTATCTGCTGCGCTCTTTTCTTCTGTTTTGACAGTTCAGTTCCTTCATTATACATGTGCTTACAGCCTTAGTATGACAAAAGCTGAATTAAAGTGATGATTTTACGTACAGCTTCCAAAAAGGACTTCGTGCACTGGGTGGTCTGGAGCTTTTCTTGAAAAAAGAGAAAATAAAGCTTTGAGAAAAATTTAAGGTATTTCTATGTGAATATGACATTTCCTGAACTCTGGCCTCTGGTGTCTTCACTGTTTTCATTGCTATTCCTTAGGTGAACTATACGGTTTCAATATGTAATTTATAATTGTCAAATTCAATTAGGTTTCACTGAGCATTTTACAGCAGCAAAACAGCAGGAGCAATGTCTGGGTCCACATGGCCCTTCAGATTTCTGACTCACAGACCGTGTGCATTCATTTGACCTTCGGGAGCTGTCCTTTAGCTGTGCCATCCACACGTACTTCTACGGAGTTGCAAACAGCAGCATGCAGGAGGGCACGTTTGGCTGCAGCCATTTTTTAGGCTTTCCTGGCTTATGCTCTTGTTAAAGTGAACTGATAAAAAGCCAGACCAAATGCTGGAAAAGTCATTAAGCCCGTTTCTGAGCCCACAGTAGTTAACGCAAACTCCAGAAAAGGAGAGACCACAGTGTGCCATTATCTTCTACCCTAACTACAGGTCCCTTTCCTCAGATCTCTTCCATCTAGATAACAACGCAGCTTTAAAATCACACTGGTTAGTTTTCATTCCTTCCCCGGATGTTATTTTGATCATTCTTTAACACATTCATTCCCTTTGATACTCCCACCTCCATACCACTTTCTCTAAAACCACTGTGGGGAATGCTATTAAACAGATTGTATCACATAGGATGATTTTTTGAAGTTCACAGTCTCATTTCATTTTCTCCCCTTTTCACTGAGTTTGCTTTGGGAAAACTTTAATATTTAGTTCAAACTAGATGTCGGACGCTGCATTTCCTCAACAGGTCTGCTTATAAGACTTGCAAAGAACATGTTTAGGTAGAGACATATTTTAAGAGTATGAGATCTTTTGGCAGACTATTGTTAAATTTCTAATGTACCTCTTGGAAGAAATTGACTCTTGAGTGCTATAAATAGGAGAAGATGTATGGACAGGGATGTTAATAAGGAAAGCCGAGACTGATGAAAGCCTTGGCGAAATGTCTTCAGGAATTTAAGATACAGAGCTGTGAGTGGCACTTAATATTCTTTTTTTCCCCCTTCTACTTTTCTTAGAAAAGCAAAATTGAGGAATAGCTTAGGTTCCAAGGGAATAAAAGAATGCCAATGAATTTGGTTCTTGATCCAACTTTCTGCCAGTGTAGAGTGAATAGAAAAGCTGGACTCTGGGGGTAATGTTTCTTTTTCAGAAAGACAGAGCTGCTAAACAACAACAAAAAGCCTCAGGAAAAAGCTCTCAAGCCGCACAGAGTATCCTAGTCAAGATTCCAGATAGTTGAGAATAAGACTGGGAAATAACAAAAAATGAATTCTGAAAGCTCCCCCAGAAAATTTGCAATATACGATATCTCTTCCTGGGTGTAGCTTGAAGCCTTCCACGCTCACGAATTTATCCTTTGGTTTAATCCTTCCCAAAGAGGGAGCGAATGTCCGGGCAGTAAGAAATGCTGTGCTGTTAACAGCGGTAATGAACATTCCCCCCTGTTCCCTTACTGCTGTCTATCCACACAAACTGAAGTGGACGTCAGACCTCTCCTTTAACGACAGGGGCGATAAGAGAGGAGAAGAAAACAGCAGGCGGTCCTGTCTGCTCAGGAAGCGGACTCGGTGGGACTGTCCATCAACAGAGGCTAACGGAATGCCGGCAGAGCTCAAACAATGCTCAGGCAGCCTCAGGGAAATGGAGTCAGTCAGCACTGGCCCGCGGAGGGTGCAGGCAGTGGAGAGGAAGTGGCAGAGGGA